GTGCGTCAGTCTATCCAACGTCATATTTCAGAATCCTGTGGACCGATTCCGTTCATTCTTTGCATGTGCCTAGTACCTTATGTGGGACATATGCACATGCAGTGGTTTAGCGATTCGATTCAAAATGGCCGACTGTCAGCCATCTTGTTTTTTGAAAATGTTGTATTTTGGACATGCTTTGTCAGTTGTCATTCAAACTTGGTACATAGATTATACATGTTAGGATACATGTCCATGGCGATTTATTTCGCAATTGGATCAAAGATGGTCGACTGGCAGGCATCTTGTTTTTGTTTTTTTATGTGGTATCTTGGACGTGCTCTGTCAGTTTTCATTCAAATTTGGCACATACATGTACTTTATACATATTAGGATGCATGTCCATGACAATTTGTTTCAAAATCTGGTCAAGGATGGCCGATTGACAGCCATCTGACTTTTTGGCCTTACTACTATATTTCCACAATTTATGTACCATTTTCATTCGCATTTGGCACATACATCATACATATCAGTGTGTTTCATAATCAGATCAAAGATGGCTGAGTAACGGCTGTTTTTATTTTGACCATATTACTATGACACGAAACACGTGTTTTGATGTAAATAAACAATCTCTTGTATACGCCACTTGGAACTCAAGTTTCAAGGACACGCTTGCGACAACCCCTCCGCTTTAATATGACGAGCACAAAGAACTTAACGGGGACTGTGTCATTTTCAATGACTTGTTTATTTTAATGTTCTTGGTTGTCACCTCGCAAGAAATATACTTAGATACATTGAAGACACAAATCACTCTTGCATCGTCATCACAAATGATATCAATTTTGCAACTCCACTTTAACTTTATAATCAATGTCCTTCAAGCACCTTAGTCATTGTGCCACATCATGTTTGGTATGGGTCCAATGCGGTGTATTCAAGGCATGTAAAACACATATTCAAAATTCAAGCATTACAACTATGTATTTTAAATCATTTAATTACGTTCATTTTTAACTATTTTTACTTTCTATAGAGATTAACATTTGATATATTTTATTGATTCAGAGCATCCATTAGGGCAGCTGATCGTGCTATGGCAATTGAGAGGATTCGTAGGATTAAGGAAGCTGAGGATGAAGCCATGGGCAGAGTGGACCCAGTCAAAGAGGCACTCAAGGATTACATGGTTCAAATACAGGAACAGATGTTGCTGCAGAAATTCCATGGTCATCGAGTGAGTCAAATTGGTTAAAGGAAATAGGATTTAAAGAAAATAATAAGAGAAACGCAAAACTAAGAAGAAGAAAAATAATTCGCACATTCGTTCTACACCCTTCAAATGGTTTCAAATGTTTCAATCCCTAAGCTATCCAAACAAAAATAAACTGTAAAACCATTTTGACAATAGCTCCATGTTCTGCCTAACTGTTCGATCATAATGAATTGTGGTTTTGCAAAAAATCAAAAAGGAGTAATACTATGTTATCATAATATCCCATAACAGAACACACTTCAAAAACACATTAAAGCATTACTTACTACAGAATTAAACCTTTTACCTTATCAATATGTTATTTTCTTTTATTTCCTCCTTCTATATGTTGTATATTACTATTCTTGGATGTCCTACCTACCTAACTCCTAATTGAATTATTCTAATCATTATTTAATCATTTAACCAGTTGTATTACCATAATATCATACAATAAGTTGGTTCTTGGACTAGATTAGTTCAGACCAACTATTTTCCTTGGACCAAACCAGAAAATTTCAAACACCCTTTTTTTTCATTCTCACATTGTTTGTTTTCTGTTGTATATTTTCCGGTGAAATAAATCAAATCATTTTAGAATAGAAACAGTTGATAATTTGGTTTTATGCTGTGATCATTAACACACAAGTATGTTTTCTTGTAGGTGAGGAAAGTGAAGAACCAAAAGAGAGAACAATACTATCCAGCTGAAAGCCAACAAGATAGTAAATTACGTAATATTCGCATGAAATCACGCCGCCAGTCCTGCGTTATAGTGTAAGTAATATACTGTAAGATTCTTTATTTTTGGTTGTTTTTGTATGGAATTTATTTTCACTGATATTTGACAAGTTGAATGTAAAATTTTGGTAAAAAAAGTATATTCGCTGGATTTTATTTTCACAGAATAATTCAGCGAAAATTAATTCCAAGCGAAAAAAATAGTATTCTACAGTACTTAATATTTGTTTATTTGTTTTCCCCATGACCTGACTAGCTGTACAAACACTACATGCCATTCTAAAAATTTGGCTGAATGCATGAGCAAAGTGATATTTTAGCCAAAGGTGCCAACATACTTATTGTGAGAATAGACTTTCGGTTGAATTAGTGAAGTGTAAGGGCAGCTAAATAAGACAAAATAACTATGTTCACAGTGTATGCCATAGAGGGCGCTCTCCACAAATACTACTCCATGACAATTTTCCAAGACTTTTTTCATTTCAAAGATTTGAATGCGTCTCCAATCTACAAATAGTTTCAGACATTTGCAAAAGGGCATTTTTGTTACAGACTTTGTTATTTGCAATTCGTCACTCCCCACAACCCCATCAAATCAACAGCTCATATTTACCCAAATTTATTCAAAGCAAGTGCATATCTTCAAAAGTTAGTTTACTTGCAAGCAAGTTCTTTCATTAGAACCAACTACAAACAAGGAAATCAAAATGGCGAATAATTATAGTGTATTCAAACGAAAATACCATGTGATACGAAAACTTACAGTCTATTAATGTAAATATAGAAAGTATGAATATTACTACACTTATTTTAATCCAATGAGTGCCCAAATATTATTTCACGCCAAAAATTCAGTGCGAATATTTCCTAAAATTGTTACTAAATTTCATCATCATTTTGGACTATACGGATAGTTTCTTTTAGTTTCATTGAAAGGTTTGTCAATTTTTATGAACATTTCAAGTGGGAGGATATTACATATTATGTAACACATTTTACTTTACTTTTTTGAGGTTACATTATAACTATTATTTTTTTGTCCATTTTACAGGGATTTTTAGAAGAGAGTATCAGATTACAGTTGATTGATTGATTTTGAAAGGATTACTTTGTTGACCATAAGTCAATAAATTGGATATTTATTCGTGATATACGTTGCCTTTTATTTCCTGTGCATACTACTATATATATAATTGGTATATTATGAATTTATTGTAAGATTCCTGGAATTATAAATGAGTATAAAAACTAAAATTGTACTGTGTTGTGTTATCTGTCCTACTTTAAAGAGAAAACAAACTGGCCATTCACGCAGCATTCTATACCATGGTCTAGGTAAGTTCTTACATGTTACATCCATTTCAATGCTATAATATTGAGAACAGGGCCCAGTATAGTATCAACCAAGCTTGGATCATCAAATCTTGAAGAAGAAATATCAAAAGTATACAAGAACACTAATATTGATATGCCGCTGGAAGGTGCTTCCCCTGTTAACATATATCCAGTGATGTACAGGTACCCAGTATATTTAATCATGGATAGGGCTAATAAAGTGTTTGAAATAAAGGGGAAATGGGATGAAAACAAATTCAAAAACATAAGGTGCAGATTCATGTTCTAGGTAACCTATGATGATTTTGTGATACCACCAGTAAATCTAAAATAGACAATTAAGTTTTGAGTTTCCCAGGTTGTGATAGAAAAGAATGGTAGGAATAAGGGTATGAATCAAAAATATGTCTGTATTTCACTAACATTTCGTAAACTTCTACAAATATTGAATCAACATGTTTGAAACAAGACATGGTGTGAATATATTGGGTGTATTGTACATATTGAACATATCAACCATTTCTCAGGTTACCAAGGTAAATTTTATTCAAACTTTGTACCACAATGTTACAACATATAATGTATTTTGTGTATTGATTCAAAATGTCCCGGGAACTAATCTTATTGCTAGGAGTTGCTATTAAGTCTGAAGAAGACCTGGAAACTATGTCATTGGCAATAACTTGTTAGCCTGGACAGACAGGAGGATGAAGTCCGTTTGCTTGTTCTTGTGTCCCATTTCAAAAGTAGGATTTGTGTCAAGATTAAATCCAAGATGTTTTTTTGTAAAAAATCTTGTCTATTTCCGCTAAGCAATAAAAATTTATGGTCAACTGCCAGCCATTTTGTTTGACCAAATCTTTAGTTCTCGTCTATTTTTGCATACTCCTGATTATATCTCAAAGTCACAGTTAATTAATTAACTGTTAGTTAATTAGAATAAAACATGACAACTGGGTTCGAGCACATCAATACAAACAAATCTATCTCGCAATCTAATTCATGATGGTTGACTGGCAGCAATTTTCTTGAGGAAAATCAGCAGTTTTGTATTTTTTTTTTTGCATAATTCTGCTCAAATCCACACAAACCAATTAGGTTTAAACTTGGTACACAGACACAGTTAATAGCTTCTATCTAGCACATCAACACAAGTTAATCTGTGTCCTGATCCAACCCAAGATGACCAACTGGCAGCCATTTTGTTTTACTTTTTGCAAACATAGACAAGCAGTGCTTAACAAATTTAGTTCACATGCATTTGCACAAAAATGAGGCTGTGGTCATTAAAAAACATTTTCTAAATATACATTTTGATAAATCCAAATGGATGTTAGATGTTAGAATTCAAATCGTTAGTGTTAATTAATATTTATGAGATAGTTCAACATTATTCAATCAGTAAGTGCATCATGTGGG